TGCTTTAATTAGTAGCACATGTACGCGTATGGACGACGTAACTTTGCACTCGAGGGAGAGGAAGTCGTCAGTATGGAGTCGAGCAGTGTGTGCGTATAGAGATTAGGCGCTGTCCAGGCGCTGCGCAGGACTATATCGCAGACCTACGGCTGCACACGTACTTGTTAATGAGAAGAGAGAGAGAGAGACGGATATTGGATTATACGTCATTGTCGCGTGTGTGTCAGACTAGACGCAGCGGCTATATATGCGGCGTGCTCGCACTGTCAATGAGCGGCAAGAAGTATAATAACGACGTCTCGTCGCTGCACATACACACACCTATACGTATTCGGAGAGACGCGAAGGAATTATTATCGCAAACAATGAAACACGTTGCCTGCCTGGCCTGAGTTTCGGCATTATACACGGACGCACATAAGCCGGCGAAAAGACACTCGAGTGCATTATTAGGCGGATCGGTTTTGTTCCTGCTCATGAAACATAATTAATCTTGTCCATGTGTACATATATCTATGTATCATGGAGCGTTGCGATAACGAACACTGCGTTTATCCGCGTGTTATTCCTACAACAGAGGTAATAGAAATATAATTATTATTATTATTATTAATTATTGGACGCTACTCGATCCAGCGCGTCTGTATAATCAGCAGATTGAAACGTATACGTATTATATGTATTGTTGGCAAATCTGTCAATGTATTATGCTCTCTCTCTCTCTCTCTCTCTCTCATTGCATTCTCATTAGCAACTCTCGTGTGTAAGCGATATGCCAACATACATATTTTAAATCCAAATTAAATATATAAATTGCATGTGAAATATATGTACAATATGTTCTCTCGTTTACATCGAGGCTTCGCATAACGAATTATACCTGCGCCGTCGAATGATGGAATAAAATGAAATTTACAAATATAAATCAAGACGCTTGTGTTATAGGACTGAATACTTCATATTCGAATAAGAAAGCCCTAGACATTGAACAACATTAAAACCAAAATCCTCTTTAGACGCCCACATACTCATTGGCCGAATCTCCATACATGGCTAATATATGCTTCTGTATGCGTGTAATAATACATAGTGCGCAACATACATATTTACTGTACGATAACCTATATCGAATACATAACATGGTGTGCTGCTTATAAATATTATATACGCGACGCCAGCCAGCCTATCAATATCGATCAACGAATTATTATACATTAAGAGACCCTCTGTGTACCTGCATGTGGAAAGTTACTTTATACTCGGCGTTTGAGCGTAAATTTAAGTATTTTCGATGATGATTAATAATAATAATCATAAAAACGTTTAGTATATTATTATTATGATTGAAATCGTACGTATGTAATGTCATGTAGTTGCAAATACAGTTTTTTGAACAAACCACAGGAGGCAGAAAGATAATAATGTGCAAATCTAATATTTATTATAGTAGTTTCAGGCCGCGACGCGCGATAAATAACGCTTGTGAGCAGCGCGCGAGGCTAAGGGTGCAGCAAGTAAGACGATACTCGGCTCGCGCGCCAGTCGTGTGCCGAGGGAAGCCTTTGAGAGCAAAGATCGTATGCACTCTCTCACCCCTTCGGCTCGTACTCTATACTTATTACGTGTACCTCTGTGCAGCGACGAGCGAGTTGACCAAACGCCTCGTACACGTAGGCGCGTCCGTTGCTGCAGCCCCGCGACCAGTCACTTCTAATACTTCGAGCGCCCAAGTAATATATTATCGAGTTTTTTCTTTTTTTTTTTTTCTTTTCACTTGCGCTCACACTCCTGTCCAAGTGTCTTCGTATTTTCTGCAGCTCATTGAGGTCGTCGATATTTTTGATGCGGTGTTAGCAGCGCGTCAATTATCGGCCGCTTTTATAGATATAGGTACGCGTGCGGCTTTCGACGCTCATCACGTTTTTTTCAGGTCAGAAGGCGCGAGAGGCTTTGCCATCAATTTATTAAGTGCATTAGGCTGAGTAAGGAATATACACTATTTTTCGTAAGCTTACAGTGACGCGCCACTCAATCAAAAGTCATTTCGAAAAGTTATTTATAATTTATAACCGGCGGAGCGGAATCGATAAATAACGTAAAACACATAAATTTTACAATGAAATAGTCAGACGCGATAAGAGAACATCAAATATTATGATTGAGCGGTGTTTGTCGATTTTTCTTAAAAATATCGTATTTTTTCTCACGAAGCCATAACTCGATTTTGTAAATATTATTTTGCATTTAAATCAGTGCGTGAACGTCGATATACTGGGATATCAATCGATTCCGTACGCGTGTTTGTCTCTGAATGTGTTAAGATATGCCTCTATATCTATATACGAGGGTTAATACATAATATAAGCGGGCAGAAAAAACTCGAACTCGGAGTAGCTGAATAAACTCGGCGTCGGCATGGAACACTTTTCAACGTCAGACAGATGGAGAATATAAGTTGATATACGTTTCTTGCAGGCCCGCAGTCGTACTAAAAGCCGTCTTAAATGCAAAAGCTCGGCAATGTATATATTTTTTCGAGCTTCGAGTGGGACGGGGTGTCGTTTATTCGGCTATTAATACGCATCGGGTGTAATTCGCGCGCATAAATCATAAGAGCCAGCAGCGGATCTGGTCCGAATGGGCCGCGCACGGAACACTGCACTGCACGTATAATATAAAGTGCAGCCCCTGCGCGTATAACGTACCGATAGACATCGGGCATTGCAGTATATAGCCCGCAAGGGCGCCACGACGCCGAGGCGCCTGCAACCGTCGCCGCCGCCGCTGCTCGAAATTATTGCCAAAACTTTCAACCGCGCTTGCTTTCGAGTGCTTTGCTGTGTACTCCTGCGCACGGATTAGTACGCGCGTGCAAGAGATTTTGCGCAGCATGAAAAATGCTCGTGTCACGGCAAGAGACTCTCGGTATAATTTCTTCTTTTTTTTCCCTTTTTTCTTTTTTTTTTTTCGCCGGAGCATACGTAATCATGAGCCCGCTTGGCAAAGAAATGTGTAAAAGTTTACAGAGTGCTTAATTATAACCCAATATTAGCCGGATTTCCTGTGTCTTTGTGTACGTACGCTTTTTCACGGGAAAATACGACTATTCGTAATAATTAAAAGTAACTCATCAGCAGCAGAGCTTGATTACGTTTTGCCTTGATTAAAGAGCGAGACCTTTGAGCGCCAAGATCCGATGTTTACAATAATAAGCTCGGCGCGTAGACGAAAAATAGTCTAGGCGTTTAATCAAGCCGCCTATAGCCGTTGCCTATAGTCGTTAAATCTTGATTTATTAACCGAACTCGTCCGTCCGTTTAAAGGACGATAATGATTACTCGCTTTTATTTGTGGAACGCGCGTGACCGAACGAAAAGATTTGTCATTCCCCGTGCCGCACAATGAAGAGAAAACGATAAATTCCGGTATTGTAACGCCGCTGGCAGCGACTGATGCTATTTAGCTTCTGTGAGGCCCCGCATATAATAAACGCCGATATCTTTGTATACGACGCGTCGCGCGAGTAATTTTGCCAACATTTTTCCATGAGATATTTTATTGCAACGATGCTTCTTTGGACTCGAGAGCACCAAGAGACTCGTTAGGGATCAGTCCGAAAAAATGACTTTATCGGCTCTCGCCTTCGCTCGCTCCTTTACTTTCATTCCGACGTGTATTGTATTTAATGCTTTCCGGATACCTATAGTTGTCCCTTTCATGACAATGATTTTCCACCATTCAAGCGTTAGAAAATTACGGCTGTCAGAGAGCGCAGACAGAGCCCTTTTGTGCATTGCAACTGTATTAATAACAGCGATCGATTCATAATAGGCCATTTGTTCCAACTAAATTACGCGATGAATCGTGCACGAGGGAGACGCGCGCGTTTGTGAGCTCACGCGGCCGAGTGATCGAGAAAACGCGCATTTTTTCGTCCAAATACCATGAAAAAAAATTACTTCGGAAATCGTGTCCGAGCCGAGAGCAGAACTCACAGTATCACGAATAATCGCTTTAAGCCGTTTTCCAGCGGGCTCACCTTTTATTTGGCGCAAAACCCACCGCATAGCACGGAATTATGACTAATTTAAAAAAAAAGCAGCGATATTCATCGGAATCAAAAAACGATAAGGGAGATATTTTTTGCGTACCAGCTCGCACGAATTCCGGGGAGCGCGTGTATACCTACGATTCTCGACTACGCGGCCAACTCTGCTGCTTTTTTGTTCCCTTTCATCGACGCTGAGAACTCTCTTTCCGATCGAATAAACAAACGATAGGTAAATATTTTGATTTTGTTAGTTGAAGAGTTCATCAGCGTAGGTGCACAATGAACACTATACAATATATAATAATAAACAGAGCGTAGCATCACATGGCAGCGTTGTTTATCTGTTTTATTTTAATTACGCATAATGCGCTACGCGCGAGAGATGAAAATTTCCCGTAAAAATCAGACAAACAAAATACGATCGAAACAGCCATGTGTAAAGGCGCGCGCATATGCACACATTTAGAAACGGAGGGTCTACAACGGCAGCAGCAGCAGCGACGGCGGCGGCGGCAGATACACCGGCAGTTTTGTCTCTCTCTTCCATCCTCTCGTTCTACGAACTTGTGCATCGAATGCGTCTCTCTCTCTCTCTCTCGGCTCTTTGTGTCGGTGCGGCGCGAGTAAGTCGCGTGGCGCTTGCTACGGCGGCACGTGGCTCGCAGCCAGCAGCCGTTCGCTCCTATATATACCGTAGATATATCTATACAGCTATATGAGTATGCATACACTCACACACACAGAGTCAGAGGCAAACTCACACAGTCAGTCTCGGAGCGCCATGCTAATGTTACAGCGATTCGGTTGCAGTAAACACGAGACATTATAATATTACGTTCGTGAAATCGTTTGAATTCGAGGGCTCGTATAGCGAGCTACCACATTATAATACGGAGTCGGAGAAGCGCAAGCGGAGAAAGATATCATAGAAACATGTGTTGTTATTTACATGATAGAGGTGTGGGCAGGCTTGGTGGCGGAGCCGGCGTTGCTGACGGCCGCCGACGATCGGGGCTGTTGACCTTCGTTGTGTAGCTGCTGATGGGGCAGTTCGCCGGCCTTTTTGCTGGCCGCATCCTTGAGCATTTTGCCGGGTGCGCTGAGGGGCGCCGTCACGCACATAATTAGCGACTTTTTCCTCATGGCGATGCACTCGCGTACCAGTCAACAGTCGCTTTTGGTCAACTTGTGTGTGTGTGTGTGTGTGTGTGTGTATGTGTCTCACTGTCACTTGCGAGCGCAGCAGCTCTAATTGGCGCCGTCGCTCTGTTGTTGTTTTTCCTTGCACCTGTCACGCGCACGCACTACGTTCACTTCATCGGTCGGTCGGATCGTTATCGTCGACTACTCGCTTGGCGAGCAAGGCGAAACATCGCCCCGATGGCTTATCACACTGACACAGTCCTGCAGAGTCGCCGAGTATCGACGAGACACGAGAATTTTACAAGGACGCGGCAGAAGGGTAGCATGATGCGATGCCAGATGGCAGAAGCGGACGCCTCGCTGCGATCTCGCGTGCAGTCGATGCGCGCCGCGGGGGCTTACTGGCGACTACACGAGACCGAGACTCGTTCCGAACGATCCGCGGCACGCGCGTGGGTGGGCGCGCAGAGCCGCGTTGCTTCGACCGCGTGGTGGGGGCCCCTCCGAGCTGGCCCATTGGCGTTGGCCGCCCGGAGCGCCTCGAAGTGGGAACGAGTCGGCCAATGGCGCGCCGTCGTGGCGCTCGCTTCGACGCCGGAGGCTGGTCGCCTCAACGGCATTCTGCCGCCGACCGCGGTGCAGTACACATCGGTTCCACGTCCTTTTCTCTATATACCTACATCTTCTCTCGCTCCACATACCTATATAGCTATATAGATCGCCGAGCCGTTTCGCACGTCGACTTTATTTACGTGAATTTAGCGAGAATCGCTGCGGCCTGTTTACTTTTTTCCTGCAGTCTAATTATCGAGCGCTGTTTACAAACAAATTTCAGTGAATTTCAGTGAAAAGTGAACGATTGACCAGAGACTGGGACATTATTGAATTGTGATCGATTAGTGACAGTTATAAAATCTAGTGTCGAATATCATACATTTAGGTACTTCTCACGTGAGTCTCGGGTAACAACTTCAATTAGTAATATACTATATGGTAATGTAGTAATTCTTAGAAAATTATTTTATCATCGCATTTCAATTAATAATTCATTTATTCACGGAGATTTACAAATTTGTTCTTAAAGTCAGTTGTTTCGGTAAATTTTTGTTTTGAAATCGCCATTCGATACTAGAGCTTCATGTGATCATCATTTTTTTTAGTTTACTTTGATCCATTATCATTTGTTAAAAAAGTCATGATCTTATTTACATCCTAATCTTTCATTTCTTAATTATTATTATTACGTTTCGTTATTCAAGTTTTTTATTTATTACATTCAGCATGCATGAATTAATTTAATATAAGAATAAACTCATGTATACATAAAATGAAAAAAAAATATATTTCAATAAAAAGTCGAGATAAAAAAAAAGTTTTGCATAATTTATTAAGTCTATTGTCCTTGAACCTACTCCTCTGCCACTGTATCAATTATTCTATTCGACTAATAGATTGGAGGAGACAGAGTAGGAATTCAACTAGTTCTTCGAAAGCGTAAAAAATTGAAAAAAAGCCAGTGAATTCAAATCGATGAGTCGTTGAAAAGCAGGGACCGTCTCGAAAATTCGCAAAATCAGCAGTATCTGCTTGGCCGTATACGTGACAACGTCAATCGATCTGTCGCACGCGCAGTAAACACACACACACATACGCTATAGCACGGCAAGTAAGGTGATTCACGTCCGGGATATATTTCCTCTGAAATCGTATCCGGAGTCTACGTTCGAGAGCTCCGTCATCACCGGCCACTGTATACCTGCCTACTCGCACTTAGCGGGTCAATCGCCTGTACTCGGATAATATTCTCAGGTGTACGAGCCAAATGTGTGTTCTTTTGTTCTAGCACATGCGCCCGAGGTTTGTATTTTTAAAATTACTGATGCATATTGTGCGCATAGGATACATGTATCAGAAACCGAATTCGAAGAAGAGATGAACGTTGACATGTGTACAGAGGCGCAGCGGCCCTATTGTTTGCGTCACGCACATGACCGAATTGCTCCGGCAAATTTGAACCAATGCGTTTACTGCGTATACACGCAGAGAAGAAAATAAAACGAAAATTTAGATTTTGCAGTCATGATATTTCGTTGAGTAAACTCCTATTTTTTACCGCTTTCCCAACGCATTGTCTCTACGGATTCTTGCCTAGTCATAACAAACTGCTCTTGGTCAATAGTCACAGTTGGCCAGTATTAAGTTAAGGTTGCAAGGTCAACCTGAATTAATCAATCAACGACTCGGATAATCGCCAGGAAAAAAAACACGTTTCATTGGGTGGTTATTGAAAAAAGTTTTTTAAATAGAATAATCAGAGTCGGGATAGATTTTCCATCTGTTTATACAGGAACTGCTCGAGTCATTGTGGAGATAAAGCTAAATTATCTCGAAAAGAAGCCGCATCGCAGGCAGGCAGGTAGGTAGGTAGGTATGTAGATATATTTAAAAATTGTAAGATGACACATATTTTTTTATTCTTTGGCCATTCAGCGGTACGTGGGCATATGAAAATTTCAACGTCGACGTCGAGTGGCGCGCACTCGTCCATCAAGCTCGCCCGCGGGCCACATAGCCACGTGTAATACGACTGCATACATACATGCATGCATAAAACGGAAGTACATTTTATACGCGCGTATGACTAAGGTAGACATTACGCGTCGGAGACGCGCACTAGATACAGTCTAATGTATTCCGCAAGGTATGATATAATGCCGAGACACGGCTTACGGTAATAAATTTATCTCACCTGCAGTTGTCTCTCGCGCACTCAGCTGTTCCTCCGCACAGTATACATGCTGTATACGCGCGCGAATTCCTATAGAGAGCCTGCATACGATAATTCGCGGCATCGCAATGAATCGCATGCATAATGTATACGGACGAGTCGCAGCAGCTCCCGTCGATCGAACTAATTTACCCGGGCTTTTATATACTCGCACTGTTTTGGCCTGTCACGGGAGGCTCGAGTCATTAAATTTTTCTCTCGGCGTTTCGCACTCGAGGCCCAAACATATGTAGGACAAGAGCTGTTTCGCGCCTCCTCGAAGCCGAGAAAATGAAAACATTCGAGGCAGGAGCCCGGTAAAAGAAACAACAGGCGCTTTTACACGCGATAATAAAAGGTCAAATGACGAGTGGATAGCTGCGCGACGGTCTCGAGAATTGCCGTCGTTATACCGTCGCTACGTGTACCTGCGCGGAATAACGTCATATTTTAGCACTTGACAAAACTCGCAGCTCGCACTTTTCTCTCGGCCTCCTTTTTTTTTCTCTTCTTGCTCCGCCACGCACGCGACGATATATTTTATATTTTTTCAAGTAAGATCCGAGTAGTGCATCGCGCGTAACTCGTATAAGAATTCCGAGGCGCGATGTATACATTATAAAAGTTCCGCATAGCAATGTTGGGGAGAGAGAGAGAGAGAAAAAAAAGAAGGGAAGAGAGTGAGGTCTCGAGGAAGACGAGCGAGGCTTACCTCGCGGTGCGCGAAAAAGCTCTGCGGATTTCTGGATGGGATGAATTATTTATGAGCCGTGCCATTAAAGTGCGACTGCTGCAGACGCCGCGCATCGCTCAGTTCACGCGCGCGCGCCAGCTACAACTGCTGCTGCTGCTGCTGCTTCTTCTTCTTCATCTTATGTTCTCAAAATCACTTTTTTCCTTCTTTTTTTTCTTTTACTTTTCGTTTTTGCCTCCGTTTTTTTCCTTGGCCTCAACTTTCGGCTCTTTATATTATTTCAGCCTCGACGCCTTGTCTATAAAAGCCAAGCGAGCAGCTCGAGCTCTCGAGTGGCTTTAAATACATGTGCGTATATTAATTATACATGCGCGCATAGGTATAGGATTTTATTTTCCTGAAAAACTCGACTGCAAAACTTTTCGACAGGCGGATTTCATCCGCATTCATTGTGTAGGCGCATTTCTCGCAAGTCTCTTGTTCATCGCGGCTTTTTGTCTCTCATATTGGCAAGACGCGCGCGCGCGTGAGCTCGCATTCGTTAATACGCCAGCAGCAGCAGCCCCTTTATGTAGCTGCGCTCGGGTATAATATCGTTAAAACACATTCGTGCGAATAAATCGAAAAAGGAAGTCGTGTAGAGCGCGTCAACACGTACATTGGCCTATAAAAATTCTGCGCTTCTTTCACACTTGCTACCCATATACGACTGGAATCTTTTTATTTTGCATTCGACACGCGAGCTCGGCAAGAAAATCTAGGCCGTGAGGATGTGTAATAAAAGGAAAAAATGTAAGCCAGCACGTAGCGTATATACATGTCTGTCTGTGTGTGTGTGCAGATGTATTATAAAAATGTACACAGCTATATGAGTTCTGCGGAGGTGTATAGGCATAATCACGACTTGGCGCAGATGTAGTGCGATGCGTTAGCTGTACACCGTACGAGTACCTGGGAATACCGGGGCTGATTATTTTGCAAGAGACTCGCCTTGTTATTTGCTGTAATTATATGAAAATTATTGCTTGGCATTTTTGCGTCTAGCCGAACAATGCCAAATCTATCAAGCTAGTGCTTGTACATCAACATGGGAAATGTACACCGAATATCCGCATGACTGAAATATTAATGCATTTCCTCGAGGACGTGCTAAGCGAGCGCAAAGTCGTTTGCGGCTCGACAACCAAATGAACAGTAATAGCGAGACGTGTACGGACTCGCTACACGTCTCGTCAATCGTTTCATTTGGATCTTGCCTTTCTGCGCGGACTGCCTGTGCAGAGCTGAGCCACCGACGAGAGAAAGACACGAAGAAAATTAGAAGCGTAATCCAGCTCGTACGATTTGCTCTGGATTATCGGACCCGCCGGCAAAACTCGCAGGTAACAAGAGCTGCGCTCTCCAACGACGTTGCGCTATCTGTCCTATATACCGACGAGCTGAGGAGCAGCAGCCGATTTTATTGCAGATTAGGCGAAACTCGCGCGCGCGCCGGGGCTCAGCGGCCCCAAAGATAGTCATAGTGCAGATATTTTTCTAAAAGTGAATCCGGCTAGAATGAAGTTTAAGCGATCGTTGTACGCTCTAGTGCAGCCTTCCATAAGCACTAAGTAATCCTAGTGCCGAAGCGAGCTCGATCCTATACTTTTCCTTCTCCTCTTTCTTTTTTTCGACTTTACTTAACTTTTTATCATCGTTATCGATTCTTTTTTCATCGATACACTCTTCAAATATAGGTTTTACCAACTTTTTTTGATTATTGAAACTTTCCAGGAAAATAGAAAATTGTTATTGCGTAACGCTATAGGGCCAAGAGCTTATACTCAATTTTTTTCACCAAAGCCAATGTGCAATTAGACCGTTGGAATTTTCACTTATTGATTTCGGATATTCCAAGCTGTTCTGGAGAAAATTAATTTAAATCTTACC